TTATCAGATTAAAAAATATATATCTTAAAAAATAAAATTTATATTCTAATTTTAATAAAATAGACATATATATTTAAATTATCAAATGTATAAAATATAAATTTGAAAAAATTGTTGATTTATTTGATATTTGTTAAAATTTAGAAAGATATTAGTTTTCAATCTGATAAAGAATATTCTTTAATAATAAATCAATTTTTTTTTAAAAATTAATTATAATATCTATATCTCTCTCTCTATATATATATATATATTAATGCTTACATATATAATGTAATATATTAAAAAAATTAATTTTTGTTAAAATAAAATTTGCAGCATGTATGTTTATTTTTTGTACTTTTTATTTATTGTATATATTGATTAAAAAAATTAAAATAGTAAAGATTGTAAGATTATATACGTTGATAAAAAAAATCAAAATAGAAAATATTAGAAGATTTATGTTCTATTTATCATTTTATTATAAAATATGTTTTAAAATAAATTATCATCTAAAAATTTATATTAGATATTAAAAACATGTTTATATCATAACTAAATTAGACTTAATTTTTATACAATTTAAAATATTTATTTTTATATTTTTATTAGTATTAAATTATTATAAAGTAGGTATTTAGGATTGTAGTTCTAATTAAATATTTAAAAAATGTTTATGACATATAAATAATTCATATTTAGAACATGTATTTTTAAAAAAAGTTAGGTTCAAATTTTACTAAATTATAATATAACCTAATTTGACCTAATTTATTTTTATCTTTAATTGCAATCGTAGATATAAAAACTTACAAAAAAATAATAATGATATATTTTTATATTTTTAAAAGTTATAATTAAATTTTTAATATTAAAAATATATGAATAAGTATTGTCCTCACTATCTAAAATTTCTGAATTTGATTATGACATTAATTAGTAATAAGTACTCTCATTTATTAATATCTTGCCTAAAAATATTTAAGACCAATTTATAATTGGATCTTCTCTTTCTCTCTCACTTTAACTTTTGGTTTCTCTTGACTAAGAAATTTATATTAAAAGGAGTAGATTTTTTTAATAAATATTTTTTCATAAATATAAATCTCTAGTAAGAGTAATTTAAAAAAAATAACTAGCATAATAATTCAAGTAATTAATATTTTATTAAAAAATAACATTGACAAACAATATAAAGATGCAAGAATTTATATTATGTAAAAAAAAACGTATTTCATAACAGATGTAGTCATATATGATATTAATAATTGAAATATAAATTAAATTGTGTTACTCACATTATGTGAGAACTTAGGAAGCCACCATACTCATCTTCTAAAGCTTGAGGAAGATCCCAGTGAAAAAGAGTCACAAATGGTTCTAAACCTGTGATATTAATATTATTTAATTAATTACATATGGTTGGTGCATTGTCACTTGCTTGAAAAAATGTTAAAATGATAAAATTTCAATTAAAACAATATCAAGAAATAAAGTACGGATTTTAACCATTAGCTAGCAGTTCATCAATGAGGTTGTTGTAATATTTGATTCCTTCTGGATTTATGCCTCCACTAAGCTTTCCTTCTACGAATAATTAATGTAAAGATTTGAAATGGTTAAATAACATTAAACATACATATCCACTCAAAATAATTAAAAGATAATAATTGATCGTTAATGTTTAACTCACTTGGGAGGATTCTTGGCCACGATATGGAGAACCTGTATGCATCCAAATTCATATATTTCATGATCCCAACGTCTTCCTGTGATCGATATACATGTACAACAAGATAAAAATAATAATTAAATACAAAAAGAAGAAATTATTTGTAATTTGTTTGTCATACAAAAGGTATCATATTGTTTAATTATTAATAATTTTGAATTAAGGAGGAAGATGTTTGACTTTTTAGTTGTTCCCTACTATGCTATATATAATTCAGAATTTGGATCATACCTTGTAGCGGTGATATTGATCAACTGCAACATCTCCATTGCTTCTACCCGCTATCATATCTGCAGGTTACACATTTGTTATTAGATTAATTATCAATTAGGTTCCTTCATTTTTAAACACATAATAGTGTTTTTAGAAGTAATTAAAAACAAAATATACAGTATTGTTTTAAAATTTAGATGAACAATTATAAATTTATTGAATCATATTTTAATTTTAAATTATTTTTAAATGCAAAAAACAGTAAATTTATATCTCATTCTTCATCTGTTTTTCTCTGAATTTGATGAAAAAATTTGTTGTAGAGTAATATTTCTAGTCAAATTTAAACCACACAAACCTTATTGACACAGAGAATTAGACAAGCTGTGATTAGTTTTAAGCTTAATTAGTTAAGTGAATCTATAAAATAAATAACAGATAATACAATAAAATTAAAAAAGAAAAAATATTTTATAATTAAAATTAATAATCAATAACCTGGATGTTTATGGGTGAAAGTATCCCATACACTCGGTCCTTTACCACCTTCTTTTGCTGCACCTTCATACTATATATACACATAACACAACAAAATCATTGATGAATTAGTTTCACACTGAAAGTTGAGTTTGGTTAAATAAGAAAATATTTCCTTAATACAGATTATATTAAGTAGGGACATTGTTAGTGGGAGCTCAACAAAAACAAAAGCTCGTGACAACGACCAATATAATAATAAGAGAAATGATACAACCAACTTTGGTCTCTCGTCTTTTTTGTTTGAATTTTTCTTCTTCTTCTTCTTCAAAATCATATCTCTTATTAGTTAGAAAAATGAAAACTATGAAACAATTTTAACTGTATTTTCAAAATGGTTTTCAAGTCAAAAATTTTAAAGTAGGTCAAACATATGTTAACTTAACTGATGTGAAAAGTATGAGTTATTAACCATGTGTTTGGTTAGGCATCACTGATCAACTGTAAACGTGCGTAAGCTTGAAGCAACTCTTACTTGCTTCTAAGTTCTAATTTGAGAGATTTAATTTGGACGGGAATTTGTAGTATAAAAAACATGAACACTGAACCCCCGATATCCAAATACATACACAGTTATACAAGCTTCTGTGTTAAATCATGAAATCCCGTGATTTTGGAACCAAAATTCTCCAAACAAGTCGTCGGATTGATCTTACAAGGATCCAAATCCATACTCAGTAATACTAGAATTTTGCATTTTAACTCAAAATCTTACGTCATTAAATTGATAGATATTTTTCACATGTTTAATTCTATTATATTTGAGATTCTTTTATTTATACTTGAATCCCAACAACTTAATTATATATTTTATTTTAAGTATATCACTAATCATATTGGAATTCCTATTACATTCTCTCATACTAAAAGTTATATATCAAAGAAATTAAAAGGAGTAAATATTTGGGAGTGATTTGATAACAAACTTAATGATAATTACTAGGATAAAACTTGATGTACTCTACATAACATTTTATAGGTTTAAATATGTTTTTAGTTCTTTAAATTTAAGGTAATTTTATTTTTGGTCCCTCAAATTTAAAATTGTTGTTTTTAGTCCTTATAATTTCAAAAAATCTTATTTTAATCCTTATATTCAAATTTTGTTAAGAAATTTATCAAATATTATTACATAAAGTCTACCTATTGATATCCCTATTAGTGAAAATATCACATTAAATCTAATTGATATTGCATAACTATCTTAATTAGTCACTTTCAAATATATTATTAGTGACCTACGGACTAAAACAATACTTTTAAAAATTACATGGACTAAAAACAATAATTTTAAATTTGAGGGACCAAAAATAAATTTGTCTTAAATTTAAGAAACTAAAAATGTATTTAAGCCCATTTTATATATAGGAATTTTGATGGAATGTTAATGTAGTTTGTAAGCATATGTATATACCTGGTACGACGATGATGCTGTGCCAAAAATGAAGCCTGGTGGAAAGGTGCTTCGATTGAGTGAAGAAACATCGTGAATGGCAGAAACACGTTCTGCAAACGTAACCGACAATGCTAATGTGCTAACAATGGCGAAGAGGAAAAACGCCTCGTGTGCCATGTCACGTGATCAATGATGGTGATGATTCTGCTTATTGCAAACGGTCTTTATATAGGGTGAAGATTTTCATGTGTGTTTAAAAAACAGTTGATTTGAACTTAATTAGAATTAAAAAACAAAATTTTTCCTTTTTATTTTATTTTATTAAAAGTAATTTTAAATTGATATATAATCATAGACTATGTTGTTAAGACTAAGAATAATTATTGTAAATAGGGAATCTCGGGAGTTGAGACTGAAACGGCAGAACATGTAATGTCGTTGTGGTGTGTGCAGGCTCGGCCGGACTTTGAAAAGCATAATTTTGAAACACGGTTCTGTTTCTCTTGTCGTTTTCTCTGTCCCTTTAGTTGAATACAAGAGAGAAAAGACGGAAATTTTTATTTATTTAGGTGTCCCTGATTTGCCACTCAACAAATGTTCTACTTTCAGTTAATATTTGATGCCCTGTGTTAATCGATGGATCCAGAATTTTTCATTTGAAAAGGAAGCTTTAGTTTTTTTTTTTTTTTTTATTCATTTCAAATCATATTATTTTGTCAATTTATGTATTTTATTGTTTGAGTTTTAATATTTACTATATTAATTTATCAATTTTATTTATTTGAGGGATATAACAGTTATTTAAACAAAAATACATGAGTTCAGAAACACATCCATGGACTTGTGATAATATCTAAGCAAAAGAGAAGCTTTAATCTTCAAGAAACTCCGGAAAGACGCAAGTCAATTAATATTTCTCACATATTTTAGTTTATTTTAAACTATGATTATTTATTGTGTTGTCTTGATTTGTTTGTAAATGTTTATTTTAAAATATAAAAAATATTATTTATTTTTAATTTTTATTACATGAAATAAAATTATATTGACAAGCTGGATTTTGTAAGACATTATTGAGTAATTTAGTTGCGTAAGATATTGCGTAATTCACATATTTAAACTAATTAAGTTTCAATTAATAAACTTCTTTATTTGATTTAAATCAAGTTGTAATTGATATATTTAATTTATTGATAAATTTATTTAAATACACAACAATTAATTAAATTAAAGTTGCTAGAAATTTACAAACTAGCTATAAGAAATATTAAATACAATAAATTAAAAAAAATATTATTATAAATATAATAAATATAGGTACAAATTTATTTAATATATAATTACACATAAATTTAATGCTAATTTTGAATAAGATATAACAATATATATAATATATTACAATATTATATATTTATATTTTTTAACAATATATCAACAAATATTATATATATATAGAAATAAAAATAATTTTTAATAATAAATATAGTGTTAATATATGACATTTTTTTAATATAAATAAGGATTACGACTAATAACTAACTAATATCTTATAACATTAACGAAAGAGTATTAAAGGAATGCAATAATTGCCAAGAGATTAATAAGGTAGGAATAATATAGATATATTGCTTGAACAAGCAAGGGGAGACTGAAAGTTTGAAGAGGAAGCTTCACCATTTCAAATCACACACTCAAAGAAAGGGTTTCATGCGCAAATCATTAAAATATATATATATTTTTTTATTTGTTTTTTTAATTCTTTTTAAAAATAAAAAATGATAGTAATCTTTATATCCTTAACCAGGGACGGAGCCAGGATTTCAATACTGGGGGTGCCATATAGGGGGTGCCATATAGTAATATACATATGAGTTTATATTAAAAATATGAGTTTATATTAAAAATAGGGGGTGCCATATAGTAATATATATGTATATAAAAAAAAATTAAAATTGTTGGGGGGGCCGTGGCACCCGTAGGTCCCCCCTTGGCTCCGTCCTTGTCCTTATCCCTTCTCCACTTCTTCTCCTTGTCCACTTCTTTGTTTTTATTATTATTTTTAAACTGCTTTTCCTTTTTCTCTTCCTCTACGATAACCACTATCTAGGCACCCATCTCCTTGGTATGCATAATTTTTCCATGTCACCATTTTTACCAAAATCTTAATCTCCATTACCTTTTGAGGAAAGAGAGACAAAGTTTCATCCTTTCTCGAGCCGTTGGCTCATAGAACTACAATTATTCTTGGCAAATCAGACATTACTATTTTATGGTGTTTGTGTGCAACGGAAAGGGTTTCAAATCTTTTTGACTTTTGCTACTTTTGCTTTGAATATGAAACCTTGCGGTGAAAAGGGATTTCAAATCCACAACACAAGAGATTGTAACAAAACAAAATTAATTAGTCTAGAACATTCTTTTTTTCATCTGAACCTTATGGAATATGATGAAAATCTTGCAAAAATTGCAATCCACGTTCAACAAAAAATGGGTGATAGTGGTGTTTTAAATAAGAGTTAAAATAGATATTTGATTTAATTAATTAATTTAAATATTAAATAAAACTTGTTAAATCTGGTTCATTCATTTAATTTTTTTTTATCAATCTAACAGTATTCAATCAATAGTTCACGGGTGAACTATTTTCGTAAAACACAACATATTAAAAATGCATCGATAAACCACCAAAATGATGGTTCATGGTAGAAAGTACCCTCAAAGAGTTATACTAAAACAATGTTTCATTACATTATTTATTGGAACAATAAGTTATATAAAGTCTAGTATTTATTAAGTAAATTCTTGAACCATTTTTGCTGAAAGTTTTTAATATCGTATCAAGCCATTTTTATAATTCACAAAGTTTAATCCAAACAGCAAGGTAAAACTAGTATTCCATTCGAAGTTGTTAGTAATGACTATTGTAATATTCTTTAGATTTGACGTCTCAGCGATTTCACTCTACGACACTTGACACAACTTTTGTTTGTTTGCTTCTAGAATCAACAATTGACCTCTCAAACCAATACAAGTATTTTCGGTGTATTTTGCTCTTACTCGTATACTTTTAAGAAATTTTCCAAAAAGTCATTTATCCCTAAATTACTCAAAGCCAAACTCACTTAACTATGGAGTTTCTTTGTGATGAGCTATCCATCTTTGTTGGTATAGTTAGTACAAATTAATTCTTTTAAGTCATCTTCAACTGTACAATCGCAAACTTGTACAATTTCTAAATCATTTTCATTTCAATGTGTTCGAAATATTACAACCATGAAAAATATCTTATAAGAATCTATCAAGGTCCAATATTATCAAATATTATTTTCAAAGGATGGAACACTCAATGACTAGAAAAAAAATCTCAAAGAGTTAAAAAATAATAATTTGAAGAGTCCAATGAGCCCAACATCAAATATTAAAGATGTTATAGTGGACTAAACTTTACTTGGATGATTTACTTGATTTTTGGACTTAAAAGTTACGTAAGCCTATTTCCCTTTTTTTTTTTGTAATTTTCATGTTTTATTTTAATTAAATAAGTTCATATGACTTTTCATATTGCCTAGGTTAATTTTAAGTGTTTTTAGACTTCTTAGTGAAAAATAAATGTTAATAAAAATTAGTGAGATTTTATTTCCTAGTAAAATTTAGTGAAAAATTACTATATGTAAAAGTGATATATTGTTTATCTTAGTCTAAATAGGATCCTTTTGTAAGCATTCAATGACAAACTAGAATATTAATAAAATTGTGAGTTTCTCATTGTGAGAATTTTTCCTTTATTTTTGGATAAGAAATTGATAGTGTTAGTTTTACCGACAGATCATAAATAGTCACGCATCTTTTTGATAACTTTGGTTCTATACCAACATGTCATAATTTGGGTCAAGTTTCCTTTTATTTCTTTACTTGTTTTCAAGATGATCCTATAATTTAAAAATCATATTAATATCCTTTTATGTTTGCATCATTCCTTATAAAGTTAACAAAATAAAATAAAATAAAATAAAATTTATAAGCAAAATACCTTTTAAACATGCAATAAAAAATTATTACTTACTAAAATAAAAGACATGACGATAATAATAATTTATTCTATAAATATTTAGAAGAGCTTTCTCAAATAATAATGTTGGAATAATGTTGGATTAGTGAACTCATTCATGCCTATAAATTAAAAAGCAATATACATTAAAGTTAGAAAAAAAAAATTGAACGTTAACATCCAACTTTATGATAAATATCCCATTCTAAAAAAAAAGAAGATGTATATAAATTTATTTTACAATAGCTTTAGGATAATAAATACGATATTCAGTATAATTACCATTTTCAGTAATGTAAACTAAAGGATTCTTGTACATTTCTTTGATATGGAGCAACAATTCTCCAAATCCTTTGAATAAACATATAACCAGGTTGAAGCGACCTACAAATATAATTACAAATGAAGTTATATATAAAATAAAATATATGAATAATAATATGTAAGTAATGTTTGACATGGCAATATATATATACATATATAATTGGACCTACAGGAATTCCGTTGCGTTAAGCTACTCCGACAAATTAAACAAAATAAAAAAAATGATATTATCAAATTCAACATATATAATGTAGAGAAGTGATAGACAAGGTGTTGTGAAATTGGCATTAGAATCAGTAGCATAACTAGATTTGCCATTACTTAGCTTAGGTGCATTGGAAGCATAGTTAGAGGTGTAATAGTTTACTCCAACAAAATCAAATCAACCATTCATAAGTTTAACTTGATGTTTAGAGAACTTTGACAATTGTTTACCAACAACACAACGCATGCTTTGTGATACTTTCCTGATGTTAAAGGTCCCATGAACCTGTAATCATTGTTGCAAATGAAAATACCTGATTATTTGAGATCCTTTTTTAATTTCTTTTAACTATGATTACCTCTTTTTATTAGTCCATTACTTTTTAGTCATGCTAGCTTACCACTATTACATATATATGGTAGTGTACAACTTTGAAAGAACAATCCCTAATTATTTCAAATTTTCGTAATTCGTCTCATCATAAAATTTATTATATTTATTTAATAATATTTTAATTAATAGGATTATTCAGGCAACATCATGATATAATATTTATTAATTTTAATTTATTATAAACAGTATATATGATACCTTTTCTCATGGTCACTCATTCAATAAACAAATTCTAAAATAAGATAATTAGAAGGATAAGGTTTAGTCCACATCTAACGTGGAGAAATCAGAGTTTCTCTATCAAGCTCACGCTCACTCGTTGTGAGGTTTTCATAACATTATTCATTAATTATTTTTATTAATTCTTAGTCTTAGTATTTTCTCTCAATTTCTCAATTATCCTTTAAAACGTACAAATGATTATTTTAAAATGTATAAAATAATTATTTAAAATGTACAAAATAATTATTTCAAACGTATAAAATAATGATATCAGCTAGGTGGTAGCTTAAGCTCATCGGGTGTAAAAATCGTGAATTGCTTGTGATCTCAACCACGCTAGATGTAGGCTTGGTCCCTGGATGTATCTAGTCGAGTGCGGGGAGAATCACACTAATAAGTGTGTATGTGCAAGTGATTTTTGTACATAAGTGATTGTGATAAGTAAAAGTGATAAGTGATGAATTATGAAATGATAAAATGATATAAGTGATAAAGTGTGATGTGTTATGAATTATAAGTGATAAGTGAATTTGTGTAGTAAATGCATTGAGTCTTGAATATCATGCATCATATGCATATGTATTTTTTTTTATGGATACAATGTGAAATACATTGCTAGGGAAGGTCTCCTTGTGTAAAAATTTAGAGATTAGTCTTTAGAGATAGCTTGGTTTGAGAAGCTCTAGTCTTGTCCGATGGGACTATCTTCTACGGGTCAACTATCACCACAAGATCCAAGTTATATATCTTTCTAGTGAGAGTGTTGTGATGGTTTGACCTGCCATGTACTCCTAGGCTACTGGGTCTTTAGGTAAGGAAAAGTTTTTTTTTTACCGACGCCACATGCATATAGTTTAGGAGAGTTTAGTTTATGTATGATCATAATATATTACTTGTGTTTAAACTATATTTGACTGATATTATGATGAGATGAGATATAAAGTGAGTTATGTGGTTTAAATTATTGTCATATTATCTACGTATGGATTGATGAGAAATATGATTATTTGTTTTATATATATTGTTTGTGTGTGGCTATTCGACCTTTTATTTTTAAACCGGTAGTCAAAATGAGGTATGTTTTCACTCCCTTATTTTCTTTCATGAATGTTTTATGTGTTTGCAAAAGACTTCCTTTTTCGGGGGAGTCTAGTTGATTGAAGAGATAACTTTAATATTTGTGATATCAGAGATCTTAAAATATGATTTTATGTTTTTAGAATTATAACTTACTTTATTTAAAACATATCTTCTCTAAATTTATAATAGCTTGGTGTTTAATTTATAGTAGGTTTTGAATTTTGAACATAATACTCTTTACCTTTGTTTAAAGTTATTCAAGTGTGATATTTACCTTTAATAATCATTGTTTATTTAATTATGCATGCATGCATGTTAGAATGTGTCATAAAACCCTTTTAAAGTGAATGGTGTAGTAAGGATAAAGTGTAAAGTACTTAGAATTATTATTACTTGAAATTTTAACTTTATTTTATACATAAGCAATTATTTTATTATAATCTTAAATCCTTTTATTAATTAATTAGAAATTATCGCATGCGATCTAATTTTTAAATATAATGTGATTTAGAAATCTCCAAATATATTACCCACTCTAAAAGAGACAAATATGATATAAAAAGAATAATTATTGGAATATATTTTTCTTTCTAATCATTACATTAATTATCATAATACAATATGTATACAATTTAATATTTTTTTAGAAAATTCGTGAACCATTTTGCGGAGAGCTTTTGATGTCGTTTCAAATCATTTTTGTAATCTACATAATGTATTCCAAATCGAACCGTATAACCATCATTCCATTCAAAATTGTCCAACAATGACCATGCAAAATATCCTTTTACGTTTACGCCATCCCTTATAAAGTCAACAAAAGAAATTGAAATTAGGTTTATAAACAAAATATTTTTAAGTTGTGAAAAATCATTCATTACCTCATTGCCGAGTGAAGATAAAAGAGATGGTGATAAAAATAATCAAATCTATAAGTATCTTGAAGTGATTCCTCAAGTGGTTGTGTTGGATCAATGATTTCACTCATTCCTACAAATTATTAAAAGGAATGTACGTTAGAAGAAAAAATCCATGTAAATGTACACCTTTCTAATAAATTTGTCCTATATTTTCAATAATTTTGTCTATAAACTTACTTTACAATATATTCCAAGAATAAAAATATTATAATTACCATTTTCAGTGATATAAATCAAAGGATTGTTGTACTTTTCTTTAGTATAAAGCAACAATTCTCTGAATCCTTTGGGATAAACAAATAACCAACTTGAACCGGTCTGCAAGTATAATTACAAATAAAGTTATAAATAAAATAAAATAAAATAAATTAATAATGATATGTATCTACAATTTAACATGACCATGTATATACCTTTGGACCTATAAGAACTCCGTTACGTGTAGCTGCCCCACAAAAGAACAAAGTTTCAAATTATCAAATTCATCAACGTTATATAATTTAAAGAAATAATAAAGGTGTCCATATATACATGTAAGATTGACTTTGCAATCTGTAATGTAATTAGGTTTGGCATCTGGTGCATCGGTAGCATAGTAAGTGGTATAATAGTTTAGTCCAAGAAAATCAAATGAACCATTAATAAGCTTAGCTTCTTGTTTAGAGAATTTTGGTAACCGTTCACCAACTAAGGAACGCATGGTTTGTGGATAGTCTCCTGATGTTAATGGTCCCATATACCTGTAATTATTGTTACAAATGAAAACATATATTAATTGTGACCATTATAACCAAATAGTATAATATAAATGCAAACCTCCTTTATTGTATATTATATATATGTGTGTATATAGAGGGATTAAAAGAGGAAAGGGTGCATAGAAAAAGAGAAAGAGAGAAAAGAGCTGGAGGAAGAGATTCACGATGATTGAAAAGCAATATAACATATTCAGCAATCTTTAATTAAATCTCTGAGGAAAGGTTAGAAATGAGGAGAAAGATAACACAAACTCAGTGTTGTTCAAGATATGCAAAAAAATTAAGGACACGTATGGGCTTAATAGCCTTAACCTCTTAGACCTAATCTTCAAAAGTAATAGAAGAAAAATAATATACTCAAAGGACCTTGTTAGGCTTATGATTATGTATTAGGGTGACAAGTTATTAATATTCTTTTATAAATAAAATAGTAGATAAGGAGACGAAAATGACGTGCTAATTAACAAATAATAATCTTATAATTAAACTTTATTGTCTACTTAGTGATTTGTTAAAATTTAGTAATATTTTATTTGATTTAAGACTTTATTTATTGAATTGTGAGTCAGTTAATCTCTATCAGAAAAATTATACCTTTGATACTAAAAAATCTTTTAGAATAAATATGTCTATCAAAATAAGATTTTAATGATAGTAAAAAAAAATAGTTTCATGATGATTAAAAAAATATAAATAGATTAATATAACAATGATTATCTACTTCAACACTAGATCATTTGTCCTTACTTTTTTCAACTTATCTATTAATTAATGTCTATTTTGAAGAGAAAAAATAGTTTCTCTTTTTTTCAACTAATTATTTGGTATTTTATAAGAAAAATAAGTGAATATAGAACAAACATTTTTATATATAAATGGTGGGATATAAGTTAATATATAATTGGACTAGTTTACCCCCCTAGTATGATCAGATATACAAATTAAGTAAGGCCTTTGGATTATAACTAAAAGGATTTACAACAAGTTTCGATGGGAGAAAAAGTATGTTTGTCATTATCATAATATATGCTAAATTGATATATTATTTTCTTAATTAAAAATAGAAAGAATATATATGTATATATATATATATATATATATAATAATGAAAAAATAAATTCTCTCATTTGGTACCCATTATATTTTTATTTTATCCTTAATGATTATACAAAATTTTAAATAACTTACAAACTATATATTAAGATAGATAAATTTTATTTTATTTAAACAGAGGCTCTTTTTTTTTTTTTTTTTCTCACTAGTACCCGTAATAACAACATATTATATATTCACCTAATTGTGTGACTCTGGCTAGCAAGCATTTATATTTATTAGAGAAGGATAGTATTATAGTAATATAGAACTAAGCACTTACCATCCAAACATAAAATCAAGTGCTCGTTGTACAGCGTCTTCGTCTGATTTGTTATTTGAAAGTGGCACAAACCAATTAGATATTAGTGTTATGCCTATCAAACCTTTTTGAGAAGCCTGTGTCGAGTGTATTATTGGACGTTAATTAGATACTAGACTTATACAAATCAAGTATTTAGAGCCTCACAATAGTATTTAAGTCTTTAAAAAATTATTGTCAAATTATATATTAAAAAAAAAAAAAAAGAACCTGATAATTTTTCTTGTAGACTTGGACAGCTGCCCCATGAGCAAGCAATAGGTAATGTGAAGCTAAATAAGGTTCTTTTCCAGAATCACCATCAGTACAGTTTGGATTTAACCATTTAGAACATCGAGCTGGTGCAAAAATTCCAGCTGCATATGCATTTCTACTATATGACCATGGCTCATTTAAAGTAATCCAATATTTCACTCTATCTCCAAATTCTTTAAAACAAAGATCCGCGTAATCTTCAAAATCATTTCTGAAAATCAATCATAAATAATAACATTGTATCAATATAATTTCTATATTCATATAATTAGTAAAAATGTTAGTGGAAAAAAAATCCTTTAATACATCTAATGAACTAGATTACTAGCTCTCTTATATGTATCACCCAAGAGCCACTGTTTTAAGAGGTTGACTTATTTTGTACATCATACACATTCAAACTCTCAACATCTCATGTTTATATGTTGGTTGATTTATTATAAAACTAGAGCTATCAAAACGGGCCAACCCGGCCCATGTGGGCCGGCCCACCTTGACCCACTTTAAAAACGAGCCAATCCAATCTAGTACACTTGTAATTTTCTCAAAAAAAATTTGGCCTGGCCCGGCCCGGCCCACCACGGGTTGGTGGGTTATACGGGCCAGCCCACCAGCCCACCAAAAATTAAAAAAAAAATATCAACAAAATTCAAAATTTTAAATTAATTATAAATTAACATAATAGTCATAAAATTAACATCATTAATAGTCATAAGTCATAATTCATCATACAAAATTAAATATAAATCATGATAAAGGTCTAAAATAAAAATTTTCAATATACCATCATACAAAATTAACTACAAATCATACTTAAATTTTTATTGCAAAAAAAAATGGTGGGTTGGTGAGCCACCCGGCCCACCACGGGTTTAGCCCGGGTGGGCCGGGTCAAAGTGGGCCGGTTTGAGATATACCCACCTACTATAAAACTTTAAATTTTTTGGTCCGGCCCGACCCGTTTTTAAGGTGGGCCGGGTTGGCCCACGGGTCCTGGCCCACTTTGACAGCTCTATATAAAACACTACCTGTGTTTTTATTTATAACAGAAAATTTGAGATCATTAATTATTCATTTATATAAAACTCAATTCATATTAATTATTTTATATATTATTTATTTTTAGAATAAAATATTTTTAATTAAAATATGTTCTCTTAATTTGATAAATATATTAATTATAGATTTTTTTTAAAATTTTAAATAGAATCTAATTTTCTTAATCTTAGTAAATTAGGTAATTGAATCTTATATATAAAAATCAAGACAATAATATTCATTTTGATCCTTAGTAAAAATGGTTATTTATAAAAATAAAAAAAAACATTTTATCACCATAATTTATGTAATTATTATTTTAAATGACGTTATCTTCTAAATACATCCTATTGTACCAAAAAAAAAATCTTCAAAAAAATAATAGTGACCAAATTACTTTAAGAATTAATGACTTTATTCTTTATTTTCACTTTTTTTTATCTAATAATGAGTAACTCATCTTTAATTGTCAAACTAAAAGAAAATAGAATAAAAAGTTAAATTAATAATTATAATAACAATAATTTAAATAAAAATAAATATTGCATCACTCACACAATATGAGGACTTAAGAAACCACCATACTCATCTTCTAGAGCTTGGGGAAGATCCCAATGAAAAAGTGTGACACATGGTTCTAAACCTGCATGTTAATAGATAGTTAGCATATGATTGTAATCACTTGAAATATTGTTATAAAATGCAAACTTTAAGAAGAAGAAAAAAACAAGAAGGCAAAGTATGGATGATATTGACCGTTGGCTAGCAGTTCGTTGATGACTTTGTTGTAATATTCTATTCCTTCTTTATTTACACCTTCACTAAGCTTTCCTTCTGTGAATAATTTATAAAAAATATATTTATATATTGAAATTATTAATTAACATGAAATATCCACCTGACATAATTAGAAGACAATAATTGATCATCAATATAAATATTTATCTTACTTGGGAGGATTCTAGACCAAGAGATGGAGAATCTGTATGCATCCATATTCATATTCTTGATGATCTGAATATCTTCCTGTGATATACATGTACAACAAGATCCCAAAAAAAATTAAATACAAAAGAAGCAATTATAGTTTGTGATGTATATTAAATTTTCTTTTGATTTTATTGTTTTGTTGTGGTGCATGGTATGTGTTTTTTGTTCGTCAATCCCTTTCGAACTCATGATGGTAATGTATGTGCTGTTTTAATTAAAATTCATAATAAATTAAAGTAACTGTGTTTAAAGTTGATATGTTTGGGTTTTTCGTTGATTCTCTGTCATGATCAAGAATCTGGACCATACCTTGTAGCGATGATATTGGTCAACGGCGACATCTCCATTGCTTCTATCTCTGATCCTTTCTGCAAATTATAGGATTATAATTAGACTAATTATCAATTATTTTTCTTTTAAAATATAATATTTATAAAATTAACTAAAGCAAGTAAATTTCAAAATTATCTCGACATATAAATTAAAATAGTTAGTTTATATGATAGTACTTTTAAGGATTATTCTCATTAATGAACACCTTTTTTATCTAAATATTTCATTAATACTTAATCCTCTTTCTTATTACACTCATCATCTTTGGCAATTACACTTTTTCATTAAGTTTCACACAAACACCACATATATATATATAAATAAAAGAAGAGACCTAAATCTACTCTATTTAATAATTAATACTCTACATCTTATTTTAATAATTTAATAATTGAATTAAAAAAATTAATATATAAATTAAATTCGTAAATTTTTAAAAATTTTAAAATTATTTAATATTTTGTTATAGAAATTCAAATCAATATAAATACTTTATTTAATTTTAGTTCAGTGTCTGAAAATTTATTTAAATAAAAATAAATAACATTTTTTGGTTAATTTTTATTCGACAACTTGGGAATCGGGTCAGAAACCCAAAACATAAAAGAAGCAAAATCATATTTTAGTTTTATTGTAAACTGAGCCAAAAAAAAAGTAATAAATGCATCATTTATTAATCTAATTCTTTATTGTCTTTTTATTTATTTAAAAATTATTTACTTAAATAAAATTTAATATTATATAATTAATAATGACATAATTATATATATGAGAGGGAAATAAAATGAAAGAAAGAATTTCCCCTTCTTCTACATAATAGCATGTTAAAGATAGAATCAAATCAAAATACCAGGATATTGATGGGTGAAAGTATCCCATATACTTGGTCCTCTACCACCCTCTTCAGCTGCACCTTCGTACTGTAATCACATTGCCTCTGATATTAGTAAAGTTTGTTGACAGTAAATAATTTTCTAAAAATAACTATCATGTTTCAACTTAATGAAACTACGTATACGTGTTTAGAAACTTATTGAGAAAAAACAAATCATGTATAAGATGTAAAATTTATAACTATTAACTTCTTAAAAAATTACGTAAAAATGTTATACCGGAGATGTGAAATCAAACATCAATATTCTAAGTAATTTTAATTTTAGTTATTGTGATTTTATATCGAAAATGTGACACCAAATTGGCTGATATGATCTGAATGCATACCTGGTACGCGGCAGATGCGGTTCCAAAAATGAAGTCTCTTGGAAAACTGGTTCGATTGAGTGAATCAACATCGACAATGGATGCAAGAGGTCCCGAACAAGTAATTGATGGTAATTTGCTAACAAGAGCGAAGAAGAAGAAAATGAAGAGAAAAAACTCGTTGCATGCCATGTCTGTTAGTGTTGAATGAATGCAACCTTTGTGTCTTTTTATAAAACTGAAGAACACTATTTCATGTTATAACTAAAAATAGATTTAAGTCATTGTGAATCAATTTCAGCCCTTCATACTCAAACTGCATGTCCAAGAGTTCCAACTTATATTGTAGGCTAAGAGTGTTCCTAGCTAACATTATTTTCGAAATTACTGTATCAGGGGTCAATATATTTATATTATAAAGATTATTATGTTTTCATTTTTAGTAATTATAATCAATACTAATAGTAAATTTTATCTTCTCTAGTAGTACAATGTATTATCAAATATACCGTCCAAACATTGCACAAGTTCAAACACTAACTATAAAATATTTCTAAAAGGACAAACAAGAGTTCATCCTAAGATAATATTATTTCATATTTTCATTCAATTAAAATAGCTTTTATCATTCATTTGCTAACTAGCGGCGTTTTTATTTTTTTTCATTAGAAGGTTATTTGGCATTCATGTTTGTTGGGTCAATACAAGACAAGATGAACATGGTTTCTACAAGTATGGGCCCAAAATAATACAAAAAATGAAAAGTTGGGCCAAATAGATTTAGGACTGGATCATACAAACAAGGTGCCCGCCAAGCCTTAGCGCAAACATGGATTCAAAATTACGTTTTTTTAATATTCTTTTTTCTTCCAAGAAAATGAAAAAGTGTTACTATATAATTGTAACAGAAGGAATAGAAAGTCAAGGCCTAAGGATTCGAGGCATGTCACCAAAAGATCAATACGGAAACGTGACCTTCAATCAATTATTGGAGGAAGGGAATCTCGTAATCATTTCGAATTTTGAACTAAGATGGTGCAAATAGCAAAGAACCTGCTTATTTCCTCACCAGATAGGCCCGTTAAAAAGTAAAATATCCTTTTGATTCCATGTTTAAATCGAAGATCGAATCCAAGAATTCCTAAACATTGATTAAGTGCATGTTTGGACCTATGTTTATTATGTGCGACTTTCAATAAAATTACATCAACTAGGACAAATGACTAGGAAATACCATGAAAAAAAAAATGATAATGTATGTTCCTTATTTATTTCCAAACACATACTAAAGAACATAAATATCAAATTACATTTAATAACAATTTTCTTTGTTTTGTTTTGCTCAACATGCCTCTCTGTTTACAAAGAGAATGCAAATAAGCATGCACGCCATTTTATGCACAAGAGAATATCTAACTCAGAATTACCACACGCGTAAAACAAGCATTAGCAGAAGATTAAATCGTTTTAAAATAAATTCAGTAGGTACTTTTGAAGTTCACCAGTGTCTTGGCATATGATGCACTTTTTATGCACCAACTATCTTTTCTATATTAATCTAGACTTCTTAAAACTGTAAATAGCCTGTTAGGCATAGAAGTAGAGTGCTAAATCCTTCCAACAAGTTTCATTCAAGGTCCATATTTGCTTCATTCTTACAAAATGACTTTAAATTCAGAGGCTCAGACACATTTGAACTTTCCATTTATCTTTGAAACTTAAGAGAGAATGGAAGGGCTTCTGTAGGGAGGACAACAGGTACTGCAAAGATGATAACTCAAAAAGTCAAAACCGGCTTCGAGACAATGTGAGAATAATGCAGAAAATAAGGTAAGGACTTGAGTAGTTCTCTGCAATTCGCAGTCACCAAACTTATAACTAGGAGCAAAGACATCATTTCATTTTTGGGGACCTTGGAATGCTATGATGATGAAAGGATAGGGAGCATAAAAAACCAAATTGAAAGTAAAAGTAGAAAAAAAAAATTTAAACTCGAAGTATTTTAGCATTATAAGACAACAGCCAGCATTGTAAACTCTCAAATTCATGATTGAAATAAAGAAAAAAAGGAATTAATGATAGGGCACCACCAAATGGAACCCCTCAAATCAGACTCACCCAGGAAAAAAAAAAGGAAGCTAAAAATAAGAACAAAGAGACAAAACCAGTAAATGAAATAAATGACACTAGGCCTCACTTCCTATCTCATGATTGTAACTGATAATATGACAAAGGAAGAAAGCTATTGCACAACTTTCATTGTTCTCACTTGCACTGCACACCTGCTTCTGCAGCTCGCCGTGGCGTGCTCTTGCGCCTGCTTCCATTATGCCTAAAACCATTGGACTTTGTCAACTCATCAGTTGTGCTTGATCCATTTCCAATGCCATTTTCTTCCTCAACTGAGTCTAGTTTCTCTTTTACCTGCAAGTTTCGCTTCCTTTTCCTCCCGTTTTCTGCTGCAGTTGGACTTTTCATCTCTTTGTTGGAGATTCCATTCTTGACATTGTCATTGTCGTCTTCTATTTTCTCTACTTCTTCTTCGTCAAAGTCATCCTTTAGCGGCTTTTGTGGCCTCCCTCTTCTCTTTTGCATGGGAACTTTTTCATCCTCACCACTTGCAGGATCCTCATGATTGGTAACAGTTAATTTTTTACCCTTTCTACCTCTACCCATGGTCTTAAAATCCTCAGAGAAGTTGTGATCATACAAACAAGGATATCTGCAAGAAAAGGGCATAATGACACATACTAGACCAGTTCAGTAGAGATATAATAGGATTCTTAATCAGCTTAAATTTGGACAGGTTGAAGTAGCTTCATTAAAAGAGATACAGGTGTTTGGATAAATTTCTTCAAAAATACTTCTAAGAGAGAAAAATAGGAAAAAAAATCAAAATAAGCTTCTCAAAATCTCTATAAGCTAAAACTAATTTATACATAAGTTAAAAGTAAGATTTTGGAGAAGTTAATAGGAGATAACTTCTACAACTTAACTTATGTATAAGTCAATTTTACTTCATCGAGAAGCTTATTTTGATTTTTCATTGTATTTTTTTCCTCCTAGAAGTACTTTTGAAAAAATTTGCTCAAACAGACCCAAAGAGGTAAATCCATGTATCTAATAAACATAAGCATAAAGAGATAAAGAGGTAAAGCCATCACTAAAAAAAACTTTCACAAACTCAAGCTTAAAAAGCCTCCTCTAGAGCATTACAAAATGAAAATCTGATCTGAAATAATATCATACCTATGATTTGTTACTGAGCACAAGAAACCATAAGAAGAAATAGAGTCTCCCGTTTAATTTTATTTATAAAGAAAAAGACTTTCCCTGCCTAATTGTGCTTGCACTTGCACACTTTTATTCACCTAGACCAAACCAGTAAACTATAGCAATATTTCCAGGTTTGATTTTTCAGTGAGACAACCCAAACACTAAATAATTTCTAGCACTATAGAGTATAGAACAAATCTACAGATTGGTCTTTAAAAATCTGAAAGCAAGGTAAAAGAGATGCATGCATCACCCAAAACTCGAACAAAAAAATTAGATTAGGGCATATAAGAACACGAGAAATTGACAGTCCAATGAAATTGTAAATCATTTGAGAAACAAATTCACAAAAACAAACTTCTAACCTAAACATAAACAATCCCCAGAAGATTCACAATAAACCAAGAAAGCAATAAACTTGTAATTGGAGAGAACTGATAGCAATCGAAATCCACAAAATCACCTTAAACTTTCGAAACCCATAAATCGAAAAGCACCAAGAACAAAACCGGGCAAAACAAACGCGTACTCTAATCCAAATTCAGCTAAAAGAAGAACAGAAAATAGAACGAAATAAAAATATTAAAAAAAATAAATACAAACCTGAAATGAGGATAACAACAGGGTTGGCATATCCAGCATGAGACTCAAGGAATGGAATATGCTAAAGCCCTCAGAAGAAAAACTCTAGAATAAGCAACACCCAGAGAGAGTTATAAGTTATTATTTATTGAGAAGCAAGTAGATTCGAATAGTGAAAAGCTCAAAAACGTAAATTTCAAAAAGACAGGAAAAAAAAATATAAAAAAGAGAACTTTGATCCGAGTAAGAAGAAATAAGCAATACCCAGATGATGAAAGATTGAGATTGAGCAAAAGAAGGATTGGCCTTAACCTTAAGGAGTGTTTGAGCTTTGAAGAGTGTGGTGGGTTTGTAAGAAATGAAACAGAGGCGAAGTAGGGATACAGATATAGAGAGAGAGAGAGAGAGAGAGAGAGAGCGCAAGCGTTAATAGATATTTGTCTATTGGTTCTTGAGTCTGTGACTCTGTACACTGAGGTGTATTATTTATGCTTATATGAAAATTAAATCGTTAGGGCTAGTTTGGTAATTTAGAATTGCAACCAAAGTGTAGATAAAAACCGTGTAGCGTGAGCAGCTACATGAGTTAACCGTTAGTGCTTGCGTGTGTTGTGTTGTGTTGTGTTCTATTCCATGAATGAATGAATGAAGCTAAGTTAAGTTAAGTTGAGTTGAGTGCATGTTGTCGAACTCCAAAGTGCAGATTGCATGGGAACGAGAACTGAAACCTAGGTAATTGGAAATTGGAAAATGGGACATTCTGTGTGACGCGAGCCTTTGCTATTAGGGACATAGATTATGCCATTACATCATCGTTAGAGTGTGATGTAATCTCAGACTAGAGTTCAAGTCCTTTACTTTAATCGTAATAGAATATCATCATCGGATTTTTTTAAGCGTATTTCGGATTACATTTGTGCTTTTTATTAAATCTTTGCTCTAACCCAACGCCAACGATGAGCGAATTATTATTTTATTTTTATTATTTTCTTACTATATAACAAGTGATTAATTAGCTTAAAATAATATTTTTTTTACATGTACATGTAGTAGAATATGATCATTTTACTACCTCATTCAATTTATTAATAAGTTATAAAAATAATTGTTGTTACTTAATTATATACTTAAAAATATATATAGTGTCGAATGTTGTTATTTGATGGTAAAATTATTAATTTTTACACTAATTATTTTTTAAGGTGATTTTTAAATAATCGGTAGAGAAATTTAATCGTTGGAAAATCAATCCAAAATTTTTAATTATGAACGATGAAAGACATGAATAAGGAATATTAAACAAAAAAAAAATAATGAATAAATAATTATAAACGAAAAGTCATGAATGAATAGTCATATCATCTCTTATAAACAACTAAGTTAAATTTGTGTCTTTCCTATTTTATATTTGTATTGTATTTATATGTGTTCATACTTTAATCTTAATGTGTGTGAAAAGGGACTCCAACAATGTTGTATATCTATTTAACTTAAATACTAATATGATGTTACAACAAAATAAATAAATATTTGTGTAAAATTATTTTGTATTGACAAAATATATATATATATATATATTCTAAATGTAACCTATCAGTCGCAAATAAATTAATAAATATGAATAAAAAATGACATTATCAATTAATATGATAAAGGGGGTAATTTGGCTTTGAAAAACTAAGGTAAGTTCATGTTATTTTAGAAACGGTTGAGCCTTATTAGAAAGTATGATGGATGTTAGAAGAGGATAGTCTTCTTAATGTAAGCAGAAAGAGTCCTTTTGTCATTTCATTTGATAATAACGAAATCCATCCAAACTATATTGAAAATCAAAATACAAACCAAATTACGCATTATATTTGTATTGATTTTTTATACTCTCGTAAAAAATCTCATAATACTTAGTTATGAGTTTATGACATTTTCATGGTACGTGACTAAATTGTTTATGAAAAAATTGGGATGTACTGTTTTATAAGAGATTTATAATATTATTATTGTTTATTGTTATGTAAATGTTAATTTCAAGACTCTAAAATGACTCAATTAACTATTAAAATTTATATTGTTTCAAATTTTTTGTGTTGCTAAATTAAAAATTTCTTAAATTATATAAAAATAAAATTGTAAATTGTAAATTTGATTAAGACTAAAAAAAATAATTAAATTGATTTCATATGAATTTGATATTGCATTCAAATAAAATAAATATTAATTTTGTGTCTAGTTCAGATAACTTTGGTTTAAAAATCATATTAAACCACATTGGGAATATCTCTTGTGAGAGTTAAAGGCTTGACCACCTTCTCATCAACATTGTCAACATTCCTTGCACAACTTTTGTATTAAGGACTAAGGAGTGGTGAACAAGAGTAGCATTTGTTCTTATAGATGTATTTGTATTGATTGCGTTGTCATTAAGAATGAGAATAAGTTCTATGAAATTAAATTTTAAGTCAAATTTATTATTTATTATAAGTTTTTTATAAGTTTGACTCATTTAAAAGTATGATTTGACTTAGTAATTTATTTAAAAACTTATTTTATATTAACAACGTTAAATATATTAATAAATTTGATTTAAAATAAGCCAATAAAACCAATTTTAAATATGAATCCCAATCTTTTTTATAATTTTATATGATAAAAAAAACAATTCATTTTATAATTATTAAAATTTAGAGTTTTGCTTTAAAAAAAAAACTAACATAAGAGAGACATTCATGCATACTCATGGCACTTATTCTTATCTTTAGTTATCATTCATTGAGAAAACAATGTATCTTCCATTATATCATTTTCTAAATAAATAATGCTAATGCAAGACTTGATACACAAAATTGCACCGTGTCTTAACTTAAAACTCTAACTGAAATGGTCATATGAGTATTTTAAACTCTTTAACTCTTTCATTATAGTGTCTAGCACACAATGAATAGTCTTGTAAAATATTAATCACATAAGCTTACAACACTAAAATTTGTATATTAATCACATAGCATCACAACACAAAAATTTTTAATTTTTGAAAAAACAACCGTCACTTAAACAATATTAACTTATAGACCCATAAACACTCTATATAGGCTAAGACCTCTCACTTACCTAAGAAAACAAGCCTACCATTTTAATCCAATAGTAACTCAATGACTTCTCTAACAATATTAGATTTTTGGAAAGTGTAACCCATTGAACTTAACCAACTTAGTTAATCATAATACCTTTTAATATGACATTATTACTTTCAAACCCAACTAAGATACGACATGTAATTTCTAAAAATCACTACTTACACTTTATACTAAGATTCTTGATCGAGTAACACAGATTTATGAATTTTCCTTCCTATTTCAAAAAATATGTCGTCTCCTAAAACATAATAAAACTCCACTATTCATATTTTACTAACAACAAAGGATCGAGAAGACCTTATGGCAATTAGATATGGATCTCTAACATTGGGCCTACTAAAGTCCATACATATGACCCACAATTCAAAACTTCCTATGTTCACTATTTTACTAAGTGCGATTTTACGATTAAAACTACCTATAAAATGTTGGTAAATTTTTAACCTAACCTACTCACATTAGTTATTAACAATATTATGTTTTTCACATACTTGAAACAAAACATTCTTATTAGACTAAAATAGTTACACGAATAAATGAATTTAATAATTTTGTTATGCTTTTATGTGATTAATTTCATGTCAAAATTAGTTTAAGGATCGTGATACCTTAATTTTTTTTAAAATATTTTACGGATTTAATTGAATTTTAGTTAAAATAACAAATGATAACGATAATAGCCTCGTTTGTACATGCAATAATTAAAGGCAAAAGTACTGTGTTGGAGTCAAACTCGCAATCACTTGTCCAACATCAAATAAAACTAAACAATAATCGCTCTCCAGTTAATATGTGGAGTATATGGCCACTACTAAAAAAATAAAAAGGATTGGATTAAAAAAAATCCAGATTGTGTGTGTGTAATTAATAGTTTTTTTTTTGTCACATGAGCAAAAAAGAAACCAACACAAAGATAAAAAAAAAATTTAAAAAAAAAACTAGAAACGCATTACTAAAACACCCAGATTAGTGTCTAAAATAATTAATGATTATTTGCATATTTCAATTATATAGGTGCGTAAAATTTTCAGAATGAGAAGAGAGACCGAAAATGTGATGAAAATGCAAATCTGATTGTTCCAACTCAAACATTAGCTGCAGTTCTTGGCTGATGAAAATAAATCATTACCGAAACCGATGGATGAGAATTGAAGCATGAAGGACACACAGACATTGATTATAATTTATTTTATTCCTTAAAATTTTCTTAATTTATCTCTTTTATTTAAAATTGTCAAAGTGGGTAATCTGGTCCGGCCCACCATGGGATGAGCAATAAGTGGGCTAATTCAGTCCGACTCACCTTTAGTTGAGTTTTAAAAAATCAATCTGACCTGGCTTATCACGAATTAGTAGGTTAAACGAGTTGATTCACTTAAATTAAAAAAAAATATTCAACTTTATAAAAAATATATATTATAATCTTATATTTTAGAAACACAACTATGTTAACAAAAATATTAATAAATAATATCAAATTGACATTAATTATCATAATTCAAAATTAGTATATACAAAATTTAGTCAATTATATAAATATAAAATCACATAAATTAACATATGAAATATAAAAGTAAAATAAAGAATATATTAGATGAACCAACTCTTGAGCCAATCTGACTCACCACGAGTTGAACCAAATTTTTTTTATAACTAAAATGAGTCAAATTTTTTTATCTAACCCAACTTAAACATGGGATGAATCAAATTGGTTCACGGATTTAAATCCACTTTTACAATTTTAATTTTATTTAGAGTCTCTTGTACAAATAATATTTTCTATTGAGATTTTCTAATATAAATAGTACTTAATTAATCATGTATGAAATTCTTTCCGGCTATCATTGATTATAATATTGCGATCAAAATTAATTAATGATCAAATAAATGGAAAAAAAACATATCAGAAAAATTAAAGGCTCTTAAATTTTACAAATAACATTAGAGCCCATTCTCTATTTTTTTACAAATTAATTTTCCTACCTTAGTAGAGCTCACTCTCTCTCATTTTCTTTATCATTTCCCCTTAGTTTTTAGAGCGTTGTTATCTTTATTTTGTTTTATTTAATTTTTACTTTTACTGATGGTTCCAACTTATAATCACTGAGAATATTTTTATCGTCTTTCTACCTTTTTTTCCAGTAAAGCTTAAAAAATCCAATAACAATTTTTCTTTGCATAAAATAAAGTACGTTTTATTAGAATAAAGTCAACAACGTTAATAAAATTTGTGTAATTCTTTTTTTATATTTCTTTACGATGTTGATTTGTTTATGTTCTCACATTCTTATGCGTAAAAGAAAAAAAAAATTAGTTTCTAACAATGCTATCAAAGCTCATGAGTGTAATTTG